TCTTGTAGTCACTGTGTTTATGTGGCAAGTACAGTTGAGTTTATGGTCTATGATGCTAATAGTGGGGGATTCAGTGAAGGTAATACCATTGAATGTCAAGGGGTGGTGATTAGATTGTCTCTTATTGGAGATTGTCATTGCTTGGCATTTGTGTGGTGCAAATGTTACTTGACACTTGTCAGCCAAGCTGGATATTGTCCAGATCTTGTTGTATTAGAACATGGGCAGCTTCAGCATCTGAGGAACCGTGAATGGTGCTGAGAATTGTGCAATCATTGGTGATCACCCCCACTTCTAACCTTATGAAAGATGGGAAGTGTTTGGTGAAACAGCTAAAGATGGTTGGGCCTAGGACACCATCCAGAGGAACTCCAGCAGAGATGTTCTGGAGCTGATATGACTGATATTTAATAAACATTTCCCCTCAGTGTTTATTGAGGAGAGAATCATGGATGCTAAGGATATAAGTGAAACAAGTGGGAATGTTTTAGACTGCATACACATCAGTAGAGAGGAGGTGTTTTCAGCTTAAATCACATTAAGGTGGATAAATCCCCTGGGTCTGATTAAGTCCATCTTTGGATGTTGTTGGAGGCTAAGGAAGAAATTGTAGAGGTCATTCTGCAGACTGGAAGGTGGCCAATGTTGTTCCATTGTTTAATAAAGGTGGCAAAGCCAAGCCAGGGAACTACAGGCCAGTAAGCCTGACATCAGTGGTAGGCAAGTTATTGGAGAGGATACTGAGGGACAGGATCAACCAACACTTGGATAGTCAAAGTCTGATTAGGGATAGTCAGCATGGATTTGTGCAGGGCAGTCATGTCTGACGAATCTATTACAGTTTCTCGAAAAGGTAACCAAGAGGATGGATGAGGGTAGGGCAGTGGATGTTGTCTATATGGACTTCAGTAAGAATTTGACAAGGTCTCGCATGGCAGTTTAGTCATGAAGGTTAGGTCGCATGGGATCCAAGGAAAGCTAGCCAATTGGATTCAAAATTGGCTGGATGGTAGGAAGCAGAGGGTGATGGTTGAAGGCTGTTTCTCAGACTGGAGGCCTGTGACTAGTGTGTGCTACAGGCGTTGGTGCTGGGACCTTTGTTATTTATTATCTACATAAATGATCTGGATTTTTTTTTATTCATTAATGGGACAAGAGCATCGCTGGCTAGGGTAGCATTTATTGCCTATCCTTAATTGCCCAGAGGGCAGTTAAGAGTCAACCACATTGCTGTGGGTCTGGAGTCACATGGAGGCCAGACCAGGTAAGGATGGCAGTTTCCTTCCCTAAAGGGCATTAGTGAACCAGATGGGTTTTTCCCAACAATCAGCAATGGATTCATGGTCATCATTAGATTCTTAATTCCAGATATTTATTGAATTTAAATTCCACCATCTGCCACAATAGGATTCAAACCAGGGTCCCCAGAACACTATCTGGGTCTCTGGATTAACAGTCCAGCGATAATACCACGAGGCCATTGCCTCCCCTTTGTGTGAATGTACTTTTGTTGATAGCGAGGAAGGTTATCAAAAATTACAGAGAGATCTTGATCAGATGGGGAAGTGGGCTGACGATTGGCAAATGAAATTCAAACAGATAAGTGTGAGGTGTTGCACCTTGGAAAGCCAAACCAAGGTAGGACTTATACAGTAAATGGTAAGGTCCTGAGGAGTGTTGTGGAACAGAGGGACCTAGGAGTACATAGTTTGTTGAAAGCAGTGTCACAGGTGGACAGGGTGGTGAAGAAGGCATTTAGCATGCTGGCCTTCATCGGTCGAGGCATTGAGTATAGGAGTTGGGACGTTATGTTACAGTTGTATAAGTCATTGGTGAGGCCGCACTTGGAGTATTGTGTACAGTTTTGGTCACCCTGTTATTGGAAAGACATAGTTAAACTGGAAAGTGTGCAAAGAAGATTTACAACAATGTTGCTAGGATTAATAGGCCTGAGTTATAGGGAGAGGTTGGCCAGGATAGGACTTTATTCCTTGGAATGTAGGAGAATGATGGGTGACCTTATTGAGATGTATAAAGTTATAAGGGGCATAGATAGGATGAATGCATGTAGTCTTTTTCCCAGGGATAGGGGATTGAAAACTAGAGAGCACAGGTTTAAGGTGAGAGGGGAAAGATTTAAGAAGGAGCTAAGGGGCAACTTATTCATGCAGGCAGTGGTGTGTATGTGGAATGAGCTGCCAGAGAAAGTGGTTGAGGCAGGTACAATAGCAACATTTAAAAAATATTTGGATAGATACTTGAATGGGAAGGGTTTAGAGGGATATGGACCAAATGCGGGCAAATGGAATTAGCTGAGTGGGAACCATGGTCAGCATGGAGCAGTTTGGGCTGAATGGCCTGTTTCCATGCTGTATTACTCTATGACTCTAAACCTCCAACAACCACAACCATTTTCTTATGGGACAGGTCCAATTCCAACCACTGGAGAGTTTGCCCCCTGATACCCATTGATTCCAGTTTTGATGGGCTCCTTGATGCCACACTCAATCGAATGCAGCCTTGCTGCCAAGGGCTGTAACCTTCACCCCTGGAATTCAGCTCTTTTGTCCATGTTTGAACCAAGGCGGTAATGAGGTCAAACTGGGTATCATTGAGCAGGTTATTGCTGAGTAGGTGCTGCTTGATAGCGCTGTTGATGACAACTTCCATCACTTTACTGATGATTGCGAGGAGACTGATGGGGCGATAAACGGCTGGGTTAGATTTGTTCTGCTTTTTGTTTACAGGACATACCTGGGCAATTTTCCACATTGTTGGGTAGATGCCAGTGTTGTAACTGTACTGGAACAGCTTGGCTAGGGGAGCAGCAATTTTGGAGCACAAGTCTTCAGTACTATTGCCGGAATGTTGTCAGGGCCTATAGCCTTTGTAATACCTGGTGACTTCAACTGCTTCTTGACATCACATGGCATGAATTGAATTGGCTGAAGACTAGTACCTGTGATGCTGGGCACCACTGGAGGAGGCTGAGATGGATCATCCACTCGGCACTTCTGTCGACAATGGTGCTGGGGAGTCCTAGTTGTGGAAGAAGGTGGACATTTCGGGTGCTTCCTTGTTGAAGTTGGCTTTGTTTCCTGTAAAGACTCCATCCCAGTCTCTCAGTTCCTCCATCTCCGTCGTATATGTTCAGATGAAGCCAATTTAGACAAGGGATCCTCCAAAATGTCCACCGGCTTCCTCAACCAAGGATTCCCCACCACGGATATTGACAGGGCCCTCAGACGGGTCCGACCCATCTCCCACACTTCTGCCCTCACCCCTTCCCTTCCCTCCCACAACATCAATAGGGTTCCCCTTGTCCTTACCTACCATCCCACCAGCATTCATTCCACCAGAAGATCATCAGGCGCCATTTCCGCCACCTCCAGCAAGATGCCACCGCTAGACACATATTCCCCTCCTCTCTCTTGTCCACCTTCCGCAGGGATCGTTCCCTCTGTGACACCGTGGTCCACTCTTCCTTCACCCCCAACCTCCCCCCAAGGCCCATGGCACCTTCCCCTGCAACCGGCGAAGGTGCAACACCTGCCCATTTATCTCCTCCCTCCCCGGTATCCAAGGGCCCAAACATACCTTCCAGGTGAAGCAGCACTTTACTTGCACTTCCCAGAATCTAGTCTACTGCATTCGCTGCACACAATGTGGTCTCCTGTACATTGGAGAAACAAAGTGTAGACTGTGTGACTGCTTCGCGGAACATCAACGTTCTACTTGCAAAAAAATCCCTGAGCTTTCAATTGCCTGCCACTTTAACGCCTCCCTGTTCCCTGGCCAACATCTCTGTTTCTGGCTTGCTGCAGTATTCCAGCAAAGTTCAGCATAAGCTGGAATAACAACACCTTATTTTCCACCTGGGGACCCTGCAGCCCTCCAGACTCAATATCGAGTTCAATAATTTTAGGGCCTAAACTCTCCCATGTCCCAGCCCCCTACCCCACACACCAGGCCTTGTTATCACATAGCCTGCCACTACATACTACCTATTGTTAGTCACTAACAGCTATTCACCCTCCCAGCCAGATTGTTATCAACTCCTTTGTCTATCCAACTGCTCTTCTCTCTCTTTGGGCTCTCTTCTATCATTTATTCCCTGCCCCATCCTTCTTCCTATTTTCTGCATATAAACTGACGTTTTCCCAGCCACCATCAGTTCTGAGGAAGCGTCACTGGACCTGAAATGTTAACTCTTGATTTTTGTTGCTCAGAAGCTGCCAGACCTGCTGAGTTTTTCCGGCAACTTCTGTTTTGTAGTCTGTGAGAGAGCTATCCCAGTTTTGGTCCTTCTGGTTTCACTTCTTTGTTGAGACTTCATAGTGATTGATGCAACTGAGTGGCTTGCTGGGCAATTTCAATGGGAATTGGGAATCACACACATTACTGTGGGTCTGGAGTCACATGTAGGCCACACTGGGTGAATATGGCAGATTTTTTTCCCCTAAAGGATATTAGGGAGCCAAATGTATTTTACCCCAACAATTGACAATGGAATCGTGGTCATCACTAGACTCTTAATTCCAGAACTTTTAAATTAAATTCAAATTCCACCATCTTCTTTGGCAGGATTCAAACCCAGGTCCCCTGGACATTAGATGAGTTTCTGGATAAATACTGTAGCAATAATACCACTTGACCATCGTACTGCTGTGACCTTCAAAATGAAGCAGGTGGGGTCCAGGCTACATCCTCCTTGAAGTGTCCAGCGAAAGGTCAAATTCTGGCACTCAATCTCTGAAGATCGAAGAGAGATTTAAAAAAGACATGAGAGGCACATTTTTACACAGGTGGTGAATGAACTTCCTGAGGAAGTGGTGGATATGGGTACAGTTACAACATTTAAAAACATTTGGGTAAGTACGTGAATAGAAAGGTTTGGAGGGATATGGCGCTAGCAGCAGGCAAGTGGGACTAGTTTAGTTTAGGACTATGTTCAGCATGGACTGGTTGGACAGAAGGGTCTGTTTCCGTGCTGTATGACTCTATGACTCTATGATCTTCATGGCTGTGAACAAGTTCCTAATATCCTGTCTGGCACTGTCACAAAGCAAGCAGTAGATGATGGGGTCAGCGGCACTACTAAGGCCAGTAAGTGCAAAGGACACTTTGTAAAAGATGTTTATTTTTTGGGCAAAATTGCAGTTTCCTGGCTCAATGAGACTGCGGATGAGCATTACAATCTGGTATGGCCCGAAGCTGATGGTGTAGACCAGAAGCAGCCGCAGCAAGAGTCTTGCAATCTTCCTTTTCTCTGTGCTCACTGTGGCTGTGCTGTCTTTGACTGCATTGAAAGTGCACTGAGAACAAAACAGGAGCAAGGTCAGAGGCAGGCAGAATCCAAGAGCAAATCGGATGATATATTCGACAACCAAGCTTGATTTCATCGGATAGGTCTCTTCATAGACCGCAGAGAAACTGAAGACGGAAAAGAAATCCTGCTTGTGGAGCAGCAATGCATGGCACATCAACTCAATAATCCAGCAGACTGCGCTGGCTACGACAGCTGCCTTCATAGAGCGGAGACCAAAATACCTCAGTGGATAGACTGTCGCCAGGAAGCGGTCCACGGAGATACAGCAGAGGAAAGCAGGGCTCAAGTACATCATAGTGTAAGTCACAACGGTGAGCAGATTGTACAGTTGCACACTCGCATGGACATCGAGGTATTCAATGAACCAATAAGGGAATGTGGATGTGTATAAGAAATCAACAAAAGATAGATTCAGCAGGTAGACACCAATCTCATTCTCACGTCTCACTTGTAAACATGCCACGTAGATCGATAGGCAGTTCCCGGGCAGGCTGACAAGAAAAGAGGCCAAGTACATGATGGGGATGACAATGTGTTCCACGCTGGAACTGACAGTGCAGGTGGAATTGTTTTGTGTCACATTGTCCAGCATTTTGATCTGATGGCTTCCTGCTTTTTCATTACCTGTTTCGAAAACAAAAGCGGACATTTTAAATTCCGTTCCAGTACTGCCAAATACTGGTTTTGACCCGTTGTCCCTCACAAACAAACTGACAACCGTGTTAGAGAACTTTCAGAACACAGGAATAGAAGCAGAACACGGGAGCAAAAATAGGCCATTCAGCCCACTGAGTCTGCTCTGCCATTCAATGAGATCATGGCTGTTCTGATAGCCCTCAATTCTGCTTTCCTGCCTTTTCCCCATAACCCTTGATTCCCTTCCTGATTAAAAATCTGACCATATCAGCCTTGAATGACCCAGCCTCGACAGCCCTTTGCGGTAAAGGATTCCATAGATTCACTCCCCTCTGAGAGAAAGGTTGACTCCTTACTCTGAGACTATGACCTCTGGTCCCAGACTCTCCCACAAGGGGAAGCAATCTTTCCACATCTACCCTTTCAAGTACCTGAAGAATCTTGTGTGTTTCAATAAGGTCACCTCTCATTCTTCTAAACTCCAATGAGTACAGGCCCAGTTTACTCAATCTCTTCCTCCATACCAGGGATTAACCTAGTGAACCCCTTGGACTGCATCTTTCTCCAGCCAGAGGGTGGTGAATCTGTGGAACTTATTGCTGCAGAAGATTGTGGAGGCTGAGTCTTTGAGTATATTTAAGATGGAGAAAGATGGATTCTTGATTGGTAAGGGGACCAAAGGTTACACGGAGAAGGCAGGACAATGAGATTGAAAAACATATCAGCCATGATAAAATCTTGGAGCAGACTCAATTGGCCAAATGTCCTAATTCTGCTCCTATATCTGATGGTCTTATGGTGGCAGTACATCTTTCCTTAGATAACAGGCACAAAACTGTTACCATTATTCTAACTGTGGTCTATTTAGTGCTTTGGATAATTTTAGTGAAACCATCCTATTTGTATATTCCATTCTCTTACAGTAAAGGCCAACATTCTATTTGCCTTCCCTATTAGCCGCTGAACCTGGCTGCTGAATTTTTGTGATTTATGGATGAAGTCTCTCAAATCCCTCTGTTCTGTAGCTTTCTGCAGTCTTTTTCCTTTGAAATAATATTCAGTTCCTCTCGCTTTCCTGCTAAAATTTTTAACCTCACATTTCCTCTCATTATATTTCATCTGTCAAGATTTTTTCCCAATCACTAAACTTGTCTACATCCCTCTACATATAATCAATGCCATCCTCTCTAATTGACTTCCCATCTATTTCACTGCATTCCACAAACTGGTGATCCAGTTCACTTTTCTATAAATGATTTGAATGAAAATTTAGGATCTATGGTCAGTAAGTTTGCAGATGACACCAATATTTGTGGTATAGTGGACAGTGAAGAAGGTTATATGGGAATGCAGCAAGATCTTGAACCACTAGGTCAGTGGGCCAAGGAATAGCAAATGGAATTTAATTTAGATAAATGCGAGGTGTTGCATTTTGGTAAGGCAAACATAGTCAATGATAGTGCTCTGGGGACTGTTACTGAACAAAGAGATCTGGGGATATAGGTTCATTGCTCCTTGAAAGTGGAGTCACAGGTAGACAGGTCAATGAAGAAGGCTTTCAGCTTCAAAAACAAAGTTGCTGGAAAAGCTCAGCAGGTCTGGCAACATCTGTGAAGGAGAAAACAGAGTAAACGTTTTGGGTCCGGTGACACTTCCATCCTCACCGGACCTGAAACGTTAACTCTGTTTTCTCTTTCACAGATGCTGCCAGACCTGCTGAGCTATTCCAGCAACTTTGTTTTTGTTCCTGATTTACAGCATCCGCAGTTCTTTCGGTTTTTATTAAGGCTTTCAGCTTGCTTGCTTTGATCAGTCAGAGCATTGAATATAGGATTTGGGAAATCTTGTTGCAGCTGTACAAGACGTTGGTAAAACCACATTTGGAGTGCTGTGTACTGTTCTGGTTGCCCTACTATAGAAAGGATATTACTAAACTAGAAAGAGGATGACATGGTGGCTCAGTGGTTAGCATTGCTGCCTCACAGCGCCAGGGAACCGGGTTTGATTCTACCCTTGGGTGACTGTCTGTATGGAGTTTGCACATTCTCCCCGTGTCTGCATGCATTTCCTCCCACAGTCCAAAGATGTGCAGGTTGCGTGGACTGATCATGCTAAATTGGCTACAGTGTTCAGGGATATGCAGGTTAGATGGATTGCTCTTCAGAAATGCAGGGTTATAGGTGGGTCTGAGTGGGATCCTCTTCAGAGAGTCTGAATGGCCTGCTTCCACACTGTAGGGATTCTGTGAAAAGATTTACCAGGATGCTGGAAGGTTTGAGTTATAAGGATAGGCTGGGACTTTTCTCCCATGGAGAGTAAGAGACTGAGGGGTGACCTTTCAGAGGTTTATAAAATCATGACAGGCATAGATAAGGTAGATATCCAACAGCTTTTCCCCATGGTGGGGATTTAAAACTAGAGGGCAGACATTTAAGGTCAGAGGGGACAGATACAAAATTGTTTCACATGGAGAGGAACAGGCTGCCAGAGGTAGTAGTAGAGGTGAGTAAAATTTTGTCATTGAATAAACATTTGGACAGGTGCGTGGACATGATAGGTATAGATGGATATGGACCAAACGCAAGCAAATGGGACTAGATTAATTGTGGACAAGTTGGGCTGAAGGGCCTGTTATCATGCTGTTAAGCCTCTATGACTCTATGACTCATTACCCTCCTGAGAATGCTCCCTTATCTTAACTCCATCTTTTATTATTTAGCTAATCTTGTAACCATTCTACTGCCTCCAACACTATGGGCCCTTGTCTTAGTCAGCCACCTAATGGGTGGTATCTTGAAAAATCCAAATTTATTGCATTCCCTGCTTCCCCTTTTTCTATCCTGCTTGCTGCATCCTCAAAAAATTCCAATACCTTTTCAGGTATGAATTCCCCTTTGTGAAGCCATGCTGACTGTTTGGTCACAGCAGAACCACAGAATATGGTACAGAGGCACAGATTCAGCCATCATTTCTGCACTGACCCTTTAAGTGAGCATTGTTGCCCAGTACCAGTCTCTTGCTTTACTTTCCAAGCTCTCACACACCATTTCTATCCAAATAATCATACAATGCACTGAATGCCTTGATTGAGCTTGCCTCCTTCACATTTCCAAGCAGTGTATTCCAAACTCACTGTGTGAAAATGTTTTTACCTTCAGCACCCTTGCTTTGTTTACACGTCACTTTAAATCTATGCTGCCTCATTCTTGTTCTTTTTATGACTGGCAACAACTTCTCCCTATCTACTCTATTCATCAAAAGAAATAGGGACGGGAGTAGCCAATCAATAGGATCCGAGCTGATCCACTATTTCTCACATTCACTTTCCTGCCCTTTCCCTGTAACCCTTGATTTCCCGACTGACCAAGAATCTATTGATCTCAACCTTAAGTATATACAAGGACTCTGCCCCCACAGCTCTCTGTGGCAAGGAGTTTCAAAGACTCAAACTCCTCTGAGGGAAGAAATTCCTCCCCATCTCAGTCTTAAGTTGGTGCCCCTTTATTCTGAGACTGTGCCCTCTGATCCTAGACTCTCCCATGAGGGGAAACATCCTCTCAGCATTTACCCTGTCAAGGCCCTTAAGAACCCTGTATGTTTCAATGAGATCACCTCTTATTCTTCTAAACTCCAGTGAGTTGAGCCTTGACCTGTTTAGAGACTGGGGATCATCTCAGTGAACCCTTTCTGAACTGCCTCCAACATACTAATATCCTTCCTTAGTTAAGGAGACCTCCCTCATGATTTTGAAAGCCTCTATCAGATTGCCTCTTAGCCTACTTCTCACGAAGAGAACAGTCCCAGCTGCTTTAATCTATCCTTATCACTGATGTTTTTCATCCCTGGAATCATTCTTGTATATCACTTCTCTCTCCATGAGGTCACATTCTTGTTATTATATGGCATCCACAACTGATATTCCAGCTGAGGTCTAACATGTGTTTTGTACAAGATCAATATCGCCTCCTGCTCTTGTACTTTATACCCCTATAAATAAAGCTGAGGACAGTGTGAGCTTTATTAACTGTTTTCTCCATCTGACCTGCCACCTTCAATGACCTGCGCACATATATTCCCAGGTCCCTTTGCTCTTACATCCCCTTTAGAATTGTACCCACTATTTTGTATTGCCTTTAAATGTTCTTTCTACCAAAGAACATCACTTCTCTGAATTGAAACTCATCTGCTACCTATCTGCCCACTCCATTTATTTGTCAATGTCCTTTTGGAGTTACAACTGTCTTCCTCACAATTCACCATTCTTCCAAGTTTAGTGTCATCTGCAAACTTTGAAATTGTCAACAACACAACAAGATCCAGATCATTAATATAAAGCAGGGAAAGCAAGGGGCCCAATACCAATCCTTGGGAACTCCAGTACAAACATTCCTCCAGCCTGATAAAAATCCATTCAGCGTTACTCTCTGTTTCTTATCCCTTGGGCAATTTTGCATCCACATTGATGCTGTCCCTTTTTCACCACGACCTGTAGCTTTTCTCACAGTCTGTGTGTGGTACAGTACCAAATGCCATCTGGAAATCCATGTTCACCACATCAACATCATTCCTGTCACTGAGCTTTTCTGTTACCTCTTCAAAAAACTCCGGGAAGTTAGCTTCCCCTTTAGAAATCCATACTGATGCTTCCTAATCAACATACTTTTTCCATGTAATTACCGGTTCTGCCTTGAATAATTGTTTCTAGAATCTTCTCAACCACCAAAGTTAAACAGAATAGTCTGTAATTTCTGAGATTATCCTTTCTTGAACAAGGTTATAATGTTTGCAGTTCTCCTGGCACTTCCTCTGAGTTCAAGGAAGACTGAAAGATTATGGTCAGTGCCCCACAATTCACTTTCAACCACATTGCTGTGGGTCTGGAGTCACCTGTAGGCCAGACCAGGTAAAAGGATGGCAGTTTCCTTCTCTAAAGGACATTAGTGAAACAGATGGGTTTTTCTTAACAATCAACAATGAATTCACGGTCATCATTAGACTCTTAATTCTAGTTTT